TCATTCCCATGGGATTTGGGTGGGAAAATCATGGATTTAATTAATTCTTCAGGGTCAGAATTGGTTTTTTCCACAGAAAATTCCTGGGTTTTTTTAAGTCGAAGGTGGGAAAATGTTGCTGGAGGAATTTTGGGAATGGGCAGGGGAAAAATTCCATTTTAATTGGATTTTTGTGGCCTTGGTTACTGAAATATTCCAAGGTTTTAGTGAAATATTCCAACATTTTATTTTTGTTGAAATACTCCAGTATTTTATGGACATCATCAAAACTTTATGGAAAGATTCCAATATTTTATCGAGATTTTATGTAACTTTATGGAAACATTCCAGGGTTTTACAGAAACATCCCAGTATTTTATTGAAATGTCCTTCATTTACTGAACTATTCCATAACCCCAGAATTCCCAGAAAAACCACTGCGGGTCCATTTGAAGCAGCAGAAATTCCCCAAAATTTGGGATTTTAACCCAAAGGGGGTTTGGGACCATCTCAGAATTCCCCAGAAAAGGATTTGGGGCAAATTTGAGCCATTTTGGGTTCAACAGATCCTGACCCATCCTAGAATTCCCAGGCTTGGGAATGACCTTGAAATCCCCCTGGATTTGGGATTTTGGGGAAAAAATCCCACGGAGCGTCCCAAAATCGTGGACGGGGTTTAGGGATTCCCAGGCTCCATGCCACCTCAGAAATTCCACAGTTTCAGAAGGAATTGGGATCTGGGGCCACAGCATCCATCCGGAATTCCGGAACTCCCCGCGATCTTCGAGGATTCCCAAAGAACAAACACACGGACTGGTCTTAAACACTGGATTTTATTCCCAAAAAACACCAGATTTTTGCCATTCCAGAGGGGAAGAAGGGATGGGATAAAAACGGGCTGAGGCCGGAGCAGCTCCTGGAGATCACTCGAAACCTCTGGAAAAATGGGAAAAAAAGGGAAAAACGGGGTTAGAGGGGCAGGAAAAACAGCTGGATGTCCCCAGGAACACCTGGATGTCCCTCTGGAATGACCAATCCCGCTGTATCCAGGTGGGAATTACGTGGATGTCCCCGGAATTCCCAGATGCCGATATTCCAGGTGGGAATTACCTGACGGCGTGGGCGATGTCCCAGTTGGCCTCCAGGGTCAGGGGTCCCTCCAGCTCCACGCCCTTCTCCGTCACCGTGGCGACCTCGTACTGCGGGAAAACCCGGGATTCGGGAATTCCAC